ACAGGGGTAGGGATTAAGGATACAGGACGTCTATAGGAGACATTTATACTGGTAGGGTAAAGACAGGACATCTATAGGAGACATTTATACTGGTAGGGTAAAGACAGGACGTCTATAGGAGACATTTATACTGGTAGGGTAAAGACAGGACGTCTATAGGAGACTATAGGAGACATTTATACTGGTAGGGTACAGACAGGACGTCTATAGGAGACTATAGGAGACATTTATACTGGTAGGGTAAAGACAGGACATCTATAGGAGACATTTATACTGGTAGGGTAAAGACAGGACATCTACAGGACGCTGTTGGGTCTATTGTCCATTACTGTAAACACAACATGGAAGAAAGTCCACACATCATCGACAAACACAATGCTGGCATGGTATGATCTCATGTTTATTTATGACATGACCTTTCCATTGTATTTGACTAGTCATTCTCCTACACTGATGCCCTGGTCTCATTTCAAATAATGTAGAGCATTCCAGTGTCTGCCTCCCAAATGGTTTCATATCCACTATATTGCGCACTACTTTTGTAGCTCACCTTATGGGGAATAGTGTACCATTTGGGACATTTCCAGTGATATTTAACTAATTTATCACTCAGTTGTTTACAGTAGTTTAGGTTGTATTAATACATATAATAATCTTTTAGCTCCTGAAAATGGGAGAGGTCCCTTAATATGTTAACTTATGCCCTCTACCAAGGGTATCTATGTCATTACACCTAACTCTATATGTATGGGTTGTACTACAGGCTGGCTCTATTGAGTTGGTTTGATGAATTAGACTGGATATTATTTCACAACTGTAATTGAATGAGATAGGGAGAGTCATTTTTATCCTGTCTTCTCCAAACGTGAGAAATACTCTGAACATATATATCTTTGCAGCACCGTAAATATGTTTACTTAAGGGAACAACAATGTTCCTCCAGCCATCTTCGCCAAAAGGTTAGATTCAGTTTGATAGTGATATTCTCCCTCTATATATCCATGGGGAGACATGCATAACAGCTTGAGACAATAAAGGGGGAGAATAGTGTCCAGTGTCAAATCGAAAGGGTGTCTTAGGAACACAGCCAAAGCCAACCACCTAGGGACTTTAAATGCATGCCCAATTCCCTCACAGCTTATTCACAATATGCCTTTAGAAATTAACAGATCATCAACGCCAATAGTAAGGAGATTAAAATGTAACAGAAAAGTGAATAAAGTGACAGAGCGGTGATACAAACAGAAAATATCAAACAGAAGAAAAAGGGGATAGGAAAGGAAAGGAAAGAGAGGGGGAGCAAGGAAAGGAGAGAGATGGGGAGCAAGGAAAGGAGAGAGAGGGGGAGCAAGGAAAGGAGAGAGAGGGGGAGCAAGGAAAGGAGAGAGAGGGGGAGCAAGGAAAGGAGAGAGTGGGGGAGCAAGGAAAGGAGAGAGAGGGGGAGCAAGGAAAGGAGAGAGAGGGGGAGCAAGGAAAGGAGAGAGAGTGGGAGCAAGGAAAGGAGAGAGAGGGGGAGCAAGGAAAGGAGAGAGAGGGGGAGCAAGGAAAGGAGGAGGGTGGGGCCGACGTGAAAAAAGGAAAAGGGAGATCAGTCTGAATGGTATCCTGTGTCAAAGCAGTCTGAATGGTATCCTGTCTCAAATCAGTCTGAATGGTAACCTGTCTCAAATAAGTCTGAATGGTATCCTGTGTCAAAGCAGTCTAATTGGAATCCTGTGTCAAAGCGGTCTGAATGGTATCCTGTCTCAAAGCAGTCTGAATGGTATCCTGTGTCAAATCAGTCTGAATGGTATCCTGTCTCAAATCAGTCTGAATGGTATCCTGTCTCAAATCAGTCTGAATGGTATCCTGTGTCAAAACAGTCTGAATGGTATCCATTGTCAAAGCAGTCTGAATTGTATCTTTGTCAAAGCAGTCTGAATGGTATCCTGTGTCAAAGCAGTCTAAATTGTATCCTGTGTCAAAGCCATCTGAATTGTATACTGCCTCAAATCACTCTGAATTGTATACTGCCTCAAATCAGTCTGAATGGTATCCTTTGTCAAAGCAGTCTGAATGGTATCTTTTGTCAAAGCATTCTGAATGGTATCTTTTGTCAAAGAAGTCTGAATGGTATCTGGTGTCAAAGCAGTCTGAATGGTATCCTGTGTCAAAGCAGTCTGAATGGTATCCTGTGTCAAATCAGTCTAATTGGTATCCTTTGTCAAATCAGTCTGAATGGTATCCTTTGTCAAAGCAGTCTGAATGGTATCCTGTGTCAAAGCAGTCTGAATGGAATCCTGTGTCAAAGCAGGCTGAATGGTATGCTGTGTCAAAACAGTCTGAATGGTTTCGTTTCTCATATCAGTCTGAATGGTATCCTGTCTCAATTCAGTCTGAATGGCATCCTGTGTCAAAATAGTCTGAATGGTATCCTCGTCAAAGCAGTCTGAATGGTATCCTGTGTCGAAGCAGTCTGAATGGTGTCCTGTGTCAAAGCAACATGAATGGTATCCTGTGTCAAAGCAGTCTGAATGGAATCCTGTGTCAAAGCCGTCTGAATTGTATACTGCCTCAAATCACTCTGAATTGCATACTGCCTCAAATCAGTATGAATGGTATCCTTTGTCAAAGCAGTCTGAATGGTATCTTTTGTCAAAGAAGTCTGAATGGTATCTGGTGTCAAAGCAGTCTGAATGGTATCCTGTGTCAAAGCAGTCTGAATGGTATCCTGTGTCAAAGCGGTCTGAATGGTATCCTGTCTCAAAGCAGTCTGAATGGTATCCTGTGTCAAATCAGTCTGAATGGTATCCTGTCTCAAATCAGTCTGAATGGTATCCTGTCTCAAATCAGTCTGAATGGATTCCTGTCTCAAATCAGTCTGAATGGTATCCTGTGTCAAATCAGTCTAAATGGTATCCTGTGTCAAATCAGTCTGAATGGTATCCATTGTCAAAGCAGTCTGAATGGTATCCTGTGTCAAAGCAACATGAATGGTATCCTGTGTCAAAGCAGTCTGAATGGAATGCTGTGTCAAAGCCGTCTGAATTGTATACTGCCTCAAATCACTCTGAATTGTATACTGCCTCAAATCAGTATGAATGGTATCCTTTGTCAAAGCAGTCTGAATGGTATCTTTTGTCAAAGCAGTCTGAATGGTATCTTTTGTCAAAGAAGTCTGAATGGTATCTGGTGTCAAAGCAGTCTGAATGGTATCCTGTGTCAAAGCAGTCTGAATGGTATCCTGTGTCAAAGCGGTCTGAATGGTATCCTGTCTCAAAGCAGTCTGAATGGTATCCTGTGTCAAATCAGTCTGAATGGTATCCTGTCTCAAATCAGTCTGAATGGTTTCCTGTCTCAAATCAGTCTGAATGGTATCCTGTGTCAAATCAGTCTAAATGGTATCCTGTGTCAAATCAGTCTGAATGGTATCCATTGTCAAAGCAGTCTGAATGGTATCCTGTGTCAAAGCAGTCTGAATGGAATCCTGTGTCAAAGTAGTCTGAATGGAATCCTGTGTCAAAGCAGTCTGAATGGTATCCTGTGTCAAAGCATTCTGAATGGTATCCTGTGTCAAAGCAGTCTGAATTGTATCTTTGTCAAAGCAGTTTGAATGGTATCCTGTGTCAAAGCAGTCTAAATTGTATCCTGTGTCAAAGCCATCTGAATTGTATACTGCCTCAAATCACTCTGAATTGTATACTGCCTCAAATCAGTCTGCATGGTATCCTTTGTCAAAGCAGTCTGAATGGTATCTTTTGTCAAAGCATTCTGAATGGTATCTTTTGTCAAAGAAGTCTGAATGGTATCTGGTGTCAAAGCAGTCTGAATGGTATCCTGTGTCAAAGCAGTCTGAATGGTATCCTGTGTCAAATCAGTCTGAATGGTATCCTTTGTCAAATCAGTCTGAATGGTATCCTTTGTCAAAGCAGTCTGAATGGTATCCTGTGTCAAATCCGTCTGAATGATATCCTGTGTCAAAGCAATCTGAATGGAATCCTGTGTCAAAGCAGTCTGAATGGTATCCTGTCTCAAAGCAGTCTGAATGGTATCCTGTGAAATAGCAGTCTGAATGGTATCCTGTCTCAAACAGTCTGAATGGTATCCTGTGTCAAAGCAGTCTGAATGGTATCCTGTGTCAAAGCAGTCTGAATGGTATCCTGTGTCAAAGCAGTCTGAATGGTATCTTTTGTCAAAGAAGTCTGAATGGTTTCCTGTCTCAAATCAGTCTGAATGGTATCCTGTGTCAAATCAGTCTAAATGGTATCCTCTGTCAAATCAGTCTGAATGGTATCCATTGTCAAAGCAGTCTGAATGGTATCCTGTGTCAAAGCAGTCTGAATGGTATCCTGTGTCAAAGCAGTCTGAATTGAATCCTGTGTCAAAGCAGTCTGAATGGTATCCTGGCTCAAAGCAGTCTTAATGGTATCCTGTGTCAAAACAGTCTGAATGGTATCCATTGTCAAAGCAGTCTGAATTGTATATTTGTCAAAGCAGTCTGAATGTATCCTGTGTCAAAGCAGTCTAAATTGTATCCTGTGTCAAAGCCATCTGAATTGTATACTGCCTCAAATCACTCTGAATTGTATACTGCCTCAAGTCAGTCTGAATGGTATCATTTGTCAAAGCAGTCTGAATGGTATCCTGTGTCAAAGCAGTCTGAATGGTATCCTGTGTCAAATCAGTCTGAATGGTATCCTTTGTCAAATCAGTCTGAATGGTATCCTTTGTCAAAGCAGTCTGAATGGTATCCTGTGTCAAAGCAGTCTGAATGATATCATGTGTCAAAGCAGTCTGAATGGAATCCTGTGTCAAAGCAGTCTGAATGGTATCCTGTCTCAAAGCAGTCTGAATGGTATCCTGTGTCAAAGCAGTCTGAATGGTATCCTGTCTCAAACAGTCTGAATGGTATCCTGTGTCAAAGCAGTCTGAATGGTATCCTGTGTAAAAAGCAGTCTGAATGGTATCCTGTGTCAAAGCAGTCTGAATGGTATCTTTTGTCAAAGAAGTCTGAATGGTATCCTGTGTCAAAGCAGTCTGAATTGTATCCTGTGTAAAAAGCCGTCTGAATTGTATCCTGTCTCAAATCAGTCTGAATGTTTTCCAGTCTCAAATCAGTCTGAATGGTATCCTGTGTCAAATCAGTCTGATTGGTATCCTGTGTCAAATCAGTCTGAATGGTATCCTTTGTCAAAGCAGTCTGAATGGTATCCTGTGTCAAAGCAGTCTGAATGATATCCTGTGTCAAAGTAGTCTGAATGGTATCCTGTGTCAAAGCAGTTTGAATGGTATGTTTTGTCATAGCAGTCTGAATGGTATCTTTTGTCAAAGAAGTCTGGATGGTATCTGGTGTCAAAGCAGTCTGAATGGTATCCTGTGTCAAAGCCGTCTGAATGGTATACTGCCTCAAATCAGTATGAATGGTATCCTTTGTCAAAGCAGTCTGAATGGTATCTTTTGTCAAAGCAGTCTGAATGGTATCTTTTGTCAAAGAAGTCTGAATGGTATCTGGTGTCAAAGCAGTCTGAATGGTATCCTGTGTCAAAGCAGTCTGAATGGTATCCTGTGTCAAAGCGGTCTGAATGGTATCCTGTCTCAAAGCAGTCTGAATGGTATCCTGTGTCAAATCAGTCTGAATGGTATCCTGTCTCAAATCAGTCTGAATGGTTTCCTGTCTCAAATCAGTCTGAATGGTATCCTGTGTCAAATCAGTCTAAATGGTATCCTGTGTCAAATCAGTCTGAATGGTATCCATTGTCAAAGCAGTCTGAATGGTATCCTGTGTCAAAGCAGTCTGAATGGAATCCTGTGTCAAAGTAGTCTGAATGGAATCCTGTGTCAAAGCAGTCTGAATGGTATCCTGTGTCAAAGCATTCTGAATGGTATCCTGTGTCAAAGCAGTCTGAATTGTATCTTTGTCAAAGCAGTCTGAATGGTATCCTGTGTCAAAGCAGTCTAAATTGTATCCTGTGTCAAAGCCATCTGAATTGTATACTGCCTCAAATCACTCTGAATTGTATACTGCCTCAAATCAGTCTGCATGGTATCCTGTGTCAAAGCAGTCTGAATGGTATCTTTTGTCAAAGCATTCTGAATGGTATCTTTTGTCATAGCAGTCTGAATGGTATCTTTTGTCAAAGAAGTCTGGATGGTATCTGGTGTCAAAGCAGTCTGAATGGTATCCTGTGTCAAAGCCGTCTGAATGGTATACTGCCTCAAATCAGTATGAATGGTATCCTTTGTCAAAGCAGTCTGAATGGTATCTTTTGTCAAAGCAGTCTGAATGGTATCTTTTGTCAAAGAAGTCTGAATGGTATCTGGTGTCAAAGAAGTCTGAATGGTATCCTGTGTCAAAGCAGTCTGATGGATCCTGTGTCAAAGCGGTCTGAATGGTATCCTGTCTCAATAGGCTGAATGGTATCCTTTCTCAAATCAGGTCTGAATGGTATCCTGTCTCAATCAGCTGAATGGTTTCCTGTCTCAAATCAGTCTGAATGGTATCCTGTGTCAAATCAGTCTAAATGGTATCCTGTGGTCAAATCAGTCTGAATGGTATCCATTGTCAAAGCAGTCTGAATGGTATCCTGTGTCAAGCAGTCTGAATGGAATCCTGTGTCAAAGTAGTCTGAATGGAATCCTGTGTCAAAGGCAGTCTGAATGGTATCCTGGTGTCAAAGCATTCTGAATGGTATCCTGTGTCCAAAGCAGTCTGAATTGTATCTTTGTCAAAGCAGTCTGAATGGTATCCTGTGTCAAAGCAGTCTAAATTGTATCCTGTGTCAAAGCCATCTGAATTGTATACTGCCTCAAATCACTCTGAATTGTATACTGCCTCAAATCAGTCTGCATGGTATCCTGTGTCAAAGCAGTCTGAATGGTATCTTTTGTCAAAGCATTCTGAATGGTATCTTTGTCAAAGAAGTCTGAATGGTATCTGGTGTCAAAGCAGTCTGAATGGGTATCCTGTGTCAAAGCAGTCTGAATGGTATCCTGTGTCAAATCAGTCTGAATGGTATCCTTTGTCAAATCAGTCTGAATGGTATCCTTTGTCAAAGCAGTCTGAATGGTATCCTGTGTCAAATCCGTCTGAATGATATCCTGTGTCAAAGCAATCTGAATGGAATCCTGTGTCAAAGCAGTCTGAATGGTATCCTGTCTCAAAGCAGTCTGAATGGTATCCTGTGAAATAGCAGTCTGAATGGTATCCTGTCTCAAACAGTCTGAATGGTATCCTGTGTCAAAGCAGTCTGAATGGTATCCTGTGTCAAAGCAGTCTGAATGGTATCCTGTGTCAAAGCAGTCTGAATGGTATCTTTTGTCAAAGAAGTCTGAATGGTTTCCTGTCTCAAATCAGTCTGAATGGTATCCTGTGTCAAATCAGTCTAAATGGTATCCTCTGTCAAATCAGTCTGAATGGTATCCATTGTCAAAGCAGTCTGAATGGTATCCTGTGTCAAAGCAGTCTGAATGGTATCCTGTGTCAAAGCAGTCTGAATGGAATCCTGTGTCAAAGCAGTCTGAATGGTATCCTGGCTCAAAGCAGTCTGAATGGTATCCTGTGTCAAAACAGTCTGAATGGTATCCATTGTCAAAAAAGTCTGAATTGTATATTTGTCAAAGCAGTCTGAATGTATCCTGTGTCAAAGCAGTCTAAATTGTATCCTGTGTCAAAGCCATCTGAATTGTATACTGCCTCAAATCACTCTGAATTGTATACTGCCTCAAGTCAGTCTGAATGGTATCATTTGTCAAAGCAGTCTGAATGGTATCCTGTGTCAAAGCAGTCTGAATGGTATCCTGTGTCAAATCAGTCTGAATGGTATCCTTTGTCAAATCAGTCTGAATGGTATCCTTTGTCAAAGCAGTCTGAATGGTATCCTGTGTCAAAGCAGTCTGAATGATATCCTGTGTCAAAGCAGTCTGAATGGAATCCTGTGTCAAAGCAGTCTGAATGGTATCCTGTCTCAAAGCAGTCTGAATGGTATCCTGTGTCAAAGCAGTCTGAATGGTATCCTGTGTAAAAAGCAGTCTGAATGGTATCCTGTGTCAAAGCAGTCTGAATGGTATCTTTTGTCAAATAAGTCTGAATGGTATCTGGTGTCAAAGCAGGCTGAATGGTATCCTGTGTCAAAGCAGTCTGAATTGTATCCTGTGTAAAAAGCCGTCTGAATTGTATCCTGTCTCAAATCAGTCTGAATGTTTTCCAGTCTCAAATCAGTCTGAATGGTATCCTGTGTCAAATCAGTCTGATTGGTATCCTGTGTCAAATCAGTCTGAATGGTATCCTTTGTCAAAGCAGTCTGAATGGTATCCTGTGTCAAAGCAGTCTGAATGATATCCTGTGTCAAAGTAGTCTGAATGGTATCCTGTGTCAAAGCAGTTTGAATGGTATCTTTTGTCATAGCAGTCTGAATGGTATCTTTTGTCAAAGAAGTCTGAATGGTATCTGGTGTCAAAGCAGTCTGAATGGTATCCTGTGTCAAAGCCGTCTGAATGGTATACTGCCTCAAATCAGTCTGAATGGTATCCTCTCTCAAATCAGTCTGAATGCGATCCGGTCTCATATCAGTATGAATGTTATCCTGTCTCAAATCAGTCTGAATGGTTTCCTGTCTCATATCAGTCTGAATGGTATCCTGTCTCAAATCAGTCTGAATTGTATCCTGTGTCAAATCAGTCTGAATGGTATCCTTTGTTAAAGCAGTCTGAATGGTATCCTGTGTCGAAGCAGTCTGAATGGTATCCTGTGTCAAAGCAACATGAATGGTATCCTGTGTCAAAGCAGTCTGAATGGAATCCTGTGTCAAAGCAGGCTGAATGGTATGCTGTGTCAAAACAGTCTGAATGGTTTCGTTTCTCATATCAGTCTGAATGGTATCCTGTCTCAATTCAGTCTGAATGGCATCCTGTGTCAAAATAGTCTGAATGGTATCCTTTGTCAAAGCAGTCTTAATGGTATCCTGTGTCGAAGCAGTCTGAATGGTGTCCTGTGTCAAAGCAACATGAATGGTATCCTGTGTCAAAGCAGTCTGAATGGAATCCTGTGTCAAAGCCGTCTGAATTGTATACTGCCTCAAATCACTCTGAATTGTATACTTCCTCAAATCAGTATGAATGGTATCCTTTGCCAAAGCAGTCTGAATGGTATCTTTTGTCAAAGCAGTCTGAATGGTATCTTTTGTCAAAGAAGTCTGAATGGTATCTGGTGTCAAAGCAGTCTGAATGGTATCCTGTGTAAAATCAGTCTGAATGGTATCCTTTGTCAAAGCAGTCTGAATGGTATCCTGTGTCAAAGCAGTCTGAATGATATCCTGTGTCAAAGTAGTCTGAATGGTATCCTGTGTCAAAGCAGTTTGAATGGTATCTTTTGTCATAGCAATCTGAATGGTATCTTTTGTCAAAGAAGTCTGAATGGTATCTGGTGTCAAAGCAGTCTGAATGGTATACTGCCTCAAATCAGTCTGAATGGTATCCTCTCTCAAATCAGTCTGAATGCGATCCTGTCTCATATCAGTATGAATGTTATCCTGTCTCAAATCAGTCTGAATGGTTTCCTGTCTCATATCAGTCTGAATGGTATCCTGTCTCAAATCAGTCTGAATTGTATCCTGTGTCAAATCAGTCTGAATGGTATCCTTTGTTAAAGCAGTCTGAATGGTATCCTGTGTCGAAGCAGTCTGAATGGTATCCTGTGTCAAAGCAAAATGAATGGTATCCTGTGTCAAAGCAGTCTGAATGGAATCCTGTGTCAAAGCAGGCTGAATGGTATGCTGTGTCAAAACAGTCTGAATGGTTTCGTTTCTCATATCAGTCTGAATGGTATCCTGTCTCAATTCAGTCTGAATGGCATCCTGTGTCAAAATAGTCTGTATGGTATCCTTTGTCAAAGCAGTCTTAATGGTATCCTGTGTCGAAGCAGTCTGAATGGTGTCCTGTGTCAAAGCAACATGAATGGTATCCTGTGTCAAAGCAGTCTGAATGGAATCCTGTGGAAAAGCCGTCTGAATTGTATACTGCCTCAAATCACTCTGAATTGTATACTTCCTCAAAACAGTATGAATGGTATCCTTTGCCAAAGCAGTCTGAATGGTATCTTTTGTCAAAGCAGTCTGAATGGTATCTTTTGTCAAAGAAGTCTGAATGGTATCTGGTGTCAAAGCAGTCTGAATGGTATCCTGTGTCAAAGCAGTCTGAATGGTATCCTGTGTCAAAGCAGTCTGAATGGTATCCTGTGTCAAATCAGTCTGAATGGTATCCTTTGTCAAATCAGTCTGAATGGTATCCTTTGTCAAAGCAGTCTGAATGGTATCCTGTGTCAAAGCAGTCTGAATGGTATCCTGTGTCAAATCAGTCTGAATGGTATCCTTTGTCAAATCAGTCTGAATGGTATCCTTTGTCAAAGCAGTCTGAATGGTATCCTGTGTCAAAGCAGTCTGAATGATATCCTGTATCAAAGCAGTCTGAATGGAATCCTGTGTCAAAGCAGTCTGAATGGTATCCTTTGTCAACGCAGTCTGAATGGTATCCTGTGTCAAAGCAGTCTGAATGATATCCTGTGTCAAAGCAGTCTGAATGGAATCCTGTATCAAAGCAGGCTGAATGGTATGCTGTGTCAAAACAGTCTGAATGGTTTCGTTTCTCATATCAGTCTGAATGGTATCCTGTCTCAATTCAGTCTGAATGGCATCCTGTGTCAAAATAGTCTGAATGGTATCCTTTGTCAAAGCAGTCTGAATGGTATCCTGTGTCGAAGCAGTCTGAATGGTGTCCTGTGTCAAAGCAACATGAATGGTATCCTGTGTCAAAGCAGTCTGAATGGAATCCTGTGTCAAAGCCGTCTGAATTGTATACTGCCTCAAATCACTCTGAATTGTATACTTCCTCAAATCAGTATGAATGGTATCCTTTGCCAAAGCAGTCTGAATGGTATATTTTGTCAAAGCAGTCTGAATGGTATCTTTTGTCAAAGAAGTCTGAATGGTATCTGGGTCAAAGCAGTCTAAATTGTATCCTGTGTCAAAGCAGTCTGAATGGTATCCTGTGTCAAAGCCATCTGAATTGTATACTGCCTCAAATCACTCTGAATTGTATACTGCCTCAAATCAGTCTGAATGGTATCCTTTGTCAAAGCAGTCTGAATGGTATCCTGTGTCAAAGCAGTCTGAATGGCATCCTGTGTCAAATCAGTCTGAATGGTATCCTTTGTCAAATCAGTCTGAATGGTATCCTTTGTCAAAGCAGTCTGAATGGTATCCTGTGTCAAAGCAGTCTGAATGATATCCTGTGTCAAAGCAGTCTGAATGAAATACTGTGTCAAAGCAGTCTGAATGGTATCCTGTCTCAAAGCAGTCTGAATGGTATCCTGTGTCAAAGCAGTCTGAATGGTATCCTGTGTCAAAGTAGTCTGAATGGTATCCTGTGTCAAAGCAGTCTGAATGGTATCCTGTGTAAAAAGCAGTCTGAATGGTATCCTGTGTCAAAGCAGTCTGAATGGTATCTTTTGTCAAAGAAGTCTGAATGGTATCTGGTGTCAAAGCAGGCTGAATGGTATCCTGTCTCAAAGCAGTCTGAATGGTATCCTGTGTCAAAGCAGTCTGAATGGTATCCTGTGTCAAAGTAGTCTGAATGGTATCCTGTGTCAAAGCAGTCTGAATGGTATCCTGTGTAAAAAGCAGTCTGAATGGTATCCTGTGTCAAAGCAGTCTGAATGGTATCTTTTGTCAAAGAAGTCTGAATGGTATCTGGTGTCAAAGCAGGCTGAATGGTATCCTGTGTCAAAGCAGTCTGAATTGTATCCTCTGTCAAAGCCGTCTGAATTGTATACTGCCTCAAATAACACTGAATTGTATCCTGTCTCAAATCAGTCTGAATGTTTTCCTGTCTCAAATCAGTCTGAATGGTATCCTGTGTCAAATCAGTCTGATTGGTATCCTGTGTCAAATCAGTCTGAATGGTATCCTTTGTCAAAGCAGTTTGAATGGTATCTTTTGTCATAGCAGTCTGAATGGTATCTTTTGTCAAAGAAGTCTGAATGGTATCTGGTGTCAAAGCAATCTGAATGGTATCCTGTGTCAAAGCAGTCTGAATGGTATCCTGTCTCAAAGCAGTCTGAATGGTATCCTGTCTCAAAGCAGTCTGAATGGTATCCTGTGTCAAATCAGTCTGAATGGTATCCTGTCTCAAATCAGTCTGAATGGTATCCTGTGTCAAAACAGTCTGAATGGTATCCATTGTCAAAGCAGTCTGAATTGTATCTTTGTCAAAGCAGTCTGAATGGTATCCTGTGTCAAAGCAGTCTAAATTGTATCCTGTGTCAAAGCCATCTGAATTGTATACTGCCTCAAATCACTCTGAATTGTATACTGCCTCAAATCAGTCTGAATGGTATCCTTTGTCAAAGCAGTCTGAATGGTATCTTTTGTCAAAGCATTCTGAATGGTATCTTTTGTCAAAGAAGTCTGAATGGTATCTGGTGTCAAAGCAGTCTGAATGGTATCCTGTGTCAAAGCAGTCTGAATGGTATCCTGTGTCAAATCAGTCTAATTGGTATCCTTTGTCAAATCAGTCTGAATGGTATCTTTTGTCAAAGAAGTCTGAATGGTATCTGGTGTCAAAGCAGTCTGAATGGTATCCTGTGTCAAAGCAGTCTGAATGGTATCCTGTGTCAAATCAGTCTAATTGGTATCCTTTGTCAAATCAGTCTGAATGCTATCCTGTGTCAAAGCAATCTGAATGGTATCCTGTGTCAAATCAGTCTGAATGGTAACCATTGTCAAAGCAGTCTGAATGGTATCCTGTGTCAAAGCAGTCTGAATGGTATCCTGTGTCAAGCAGTCTGAATGGAATCCTGTGTCGAAAGCGTCTGCATGGTATCCGGTCGTCAAACAGTCTGAATGGTATCATGTGTCAAAGCCCGTCTGAATGGGATCCTGGTGTAAAAAGCAGTCTGAATGCGTTATCCTGTGTCAAAGCATCGCAGGATATCCTGTTGTCAAAGCAGTTGAATGGTATCCTGTGTCAAAGCAGTCTGAATGGTATCTGTTGTTCAAAGAAGTCTGAAGGGTATCTGGTTGTCAAGCCGTCTGAATGTTATCCTGTGTAATAGCAGCTGAATTGTTCCTGTGTAAACCGTCTGAAATGTATCCTGTCTCAATCACTCTTGAATGGTTTTATCCTGTTCTCAAATCAATCAATGTTTCCTGTCTCAAACAGTATGAAGCTATTCTGGTGTCAAAGCCATCTGAATGGTATCCTGTGTCAAATCGTCTGAATGGGATTTTTGTCAAAGCAGTCTGAATGGATCCGTTTCAAAGCTTTGAATTGTACCCCGGTTTAAAGCTTTTGAATGGTATCCTGTTGTCAAAGCAGTCTGAATGGTATACAATGTCAAAAGCAGTCTGAATGGTATATTTTGTCAAAGAGTCTGAATGGTATCTTGTGTCAAAGCAGTCTGAATGGTATCCTGTGTCAAAGCAGTCTGAATGTATCCTGTGTCAAAGCAGTCTGAATGGTATCTGTCTCAAATCACTCTGAATGTTTTCCTGTCTCAAATCAGTCTGAATGGTATCATGTGTCAAATCAGTCTGAATGGTGTCCTGTGTCAAATCAGTCTGAATGGTATTCTTTGTCAAAGCAGTCTGAATGGTATCCTGTGTCAAAGCAGTCTGAATGGTATCCTGTTTCAAAGCATTCTGAATTGTACCCTGTATCAAAGCTGTTTGAATGGTATCCTGTGTCAAAGCAGTCTGAATGGTATACACTGTCAAAGCAGTCTGAATGGTATATTTTGTCAAAGAAGTCTGAATGGTATCTGGTGTCAAAGCAGTCTGAATGGTATCCTGTGTCAAAGCAGTCTGAATTGTATCCTGTGTCAAAGCAGTCTGAATGGTATCCTGTCTCAAATCACTCTGAATGTTTTCCTGTCTCAAATCAGTCTGAATGGTATCATGTGTCAAATCAGTCTGAATGGTGTCCTGTGTCAAATCAGTCTGAATGGTATTCTTTGTCAAAGCAGTCTGAATGGTATCCTGTGTCAAAGCAGTCTGAATGGTATCCTGTTTCAAAGCATTCTGAATTGTACCCTGTATCAAAGCTGTTTGAATGGTATCCTGTGTTAAAGCAGTCTGAATGGTATACACTGTCAAAGCAGTCTGAATGGTATATTTTGTCATAGCAGTCTGAATGGTATCTTTTGTCAAATAAGTCTGAATGGTATCTGGTGTCAAAGCAGTCTGAATGGTATCCTGTCTCAAATCAGTCTGAATGCGATCCTGTCTCAAATCAGTCTGAATTCTGTCCTGTCTCAAATCAGTCTGAATGGTTTCCTGTCTCATATCAGTCTGAATGGTATCCTGTCTCAAATCAGTCTGAATGGTATCCTGTGTCAAAGCAGTCTGAATGGTATCCTGTGTCAAATAATTCTGAATGGTATCCTGTGTCAAAGCAGCCTGAATGGTGCCCTGTATCAAAGCGGTATGAAAAGCATCCTGTGTCAAAGCAGTCTGAATGGTATCCTGTGTCAAAGCAGTCTGAATGGTATCCTGTGTCAAAGCAATCTGAATGGTATCTTGTGTCAAAGCAGTCTGAATGGTTCCTGTGTCAAATAGGTCTGAATGGTAAACTGTGTCAAAGAGGTCTGAATGGTATCCTGTGTCAAAGCGAACTGATATCTACCCTGTGTCAAAGCAGTCTGAAAGGTATCCTGTGTCAGAGGTCTGAATGGTATCCTGTGTCAAAGCGGTCTGAATGGTATCCTGTGTCAAAGCAGTCTGAATGGTATCCTGTGTCAAATCAGTCTGAATGGTATCCATTGTCAAAGCAGTCTGAATGGTATCCTGTGTCAAAGCAGTCTGAATGGTATCCTGTGTCAAATCAGTCTGAATGGTAACCATTGTCAAAGCAGTCTGAATGGTATCCTGTGTCAAAGCAGTCTGAATGGTATCCTGTCTCAAAGCAGTCTGAATGTTATCCTGTGTCAAAGCAGTCTGAATGGTATCCTGTCTCAAACAGTCTGAATGGTATCATGTGTCAAAGCAGTCTGAATGATATCCTGTGTCAAAGCAGTCTGAATGGTATCATGTGTCAAAGCAGTCTGAATGGTATCTTTTGTCAAATAAGTCTGAATGGTATCTGGTGTCAAAGCAGTCTGAATGGTATCCTGTGTCAAAGCAGTCTGAATTGTATCCTGTGTCAAAACCGTCTGAAATGTATCCTGCCTCAAATCACTCTGAATGGTATCCTGTCTCAAATCACTCTGAATGTTTTCCTGTCTCAAATCAGTCTGAATGGTATCATGTGTCAGATCAGTCTGAATGGTGTCCTGTGTCAAATCAGTCTGAATGGTATTCCTTGTCAAAGCAGTCTGAATGGTATCCTGTTTCAAAGCATTCTGAATTGTACCCTGTATCAAAGCTGTTTGAATGGTATCCTGTGTCAAAGCAGTCTGAATGGTTACCCGCAAGCAGTCTTGGTCAATTGTGTCAAAGTCTGAATGGATTTCTGTGTCAAAGCAGTCTGAATTGTATCCTGTGTCAAATCAGTCTGAATGGTATCCATTGTCAAAGCAGTCTGAATGCTATCCTGTGTCAAAGCAGTCTGAATGGACTCCTGTGTCAAAGCAGTCTGAATGGTATCCTGTCTCAAAGCAGTCTGAATGGTATCCTGTGTCAAAGCAGTCTGAATGGTATCCTGTGTCAAAGCAGGCTGAAATGTATCCTGTGTCAAAGCAGTCTGAATGGTATCCTGTGTCAAAGAGGTCTGAATGGTATCCTGTGTCAAAGCAGCCTGAATGGTGTCCTGTGTCAAAGTGGTCTGAAAAGCCTCCTTTGTCAAAGCAGTCTGAATGGTATCCTGTGTCAAAGCAGTCAATGGTATCCTGTGTCAAAGCAGGCTGAATGGTATCCTGTGTCAAAGCAGTCTTAATGGTATCCTGTGTCAAAGCAGGCTGAATGGTATCCTGTGTCAAAGAGGTCTGAATGGTATCCTGTGTCAAAGCAGTCTGAATGGTGTCCTGTGTCAAAGCGGTCTGAAAAGCATCCTGTGTCAAAGCGGTCTGAATGGTATCCTGTGTCAAAGCGGTCTGAATGGTATCCTGTGCCAAAGCGGTCTGAATGGTATCCTGTGCCAAAGCGGTCTGAATGGTATCCTTTGTCAAAGCAATCTGAATGGTTCCTGTGTTAAAGCGGTCTGAATGGTATCCTGTGTCAAAGCAGTCTGAATGGTATCCTGTGTCAAAGCAATCTGAATGTTCCCCTGTGTCAAAGCAGTCTGAATGGTATCCTGTGTCAAAGCAGTCTGAATGGTATCCTGTGTCAAAGCAATCTGAATGTTCCCCTGTGTCAAAGCAGTCTGAATTGTACCCTGTGTCAAAGCAGTCTGAATGGTATCATGTGTCAAAGCAGTCTGAATTGTACCGTGTCAAAGCAGTCTTTCCATAATTCTACACTGTCAGTCATAGAGATGATAAGTCAACAACCTTTCCATAATCCTACCCTGTCAGTCAGAGAGATGGTAGGTCAGCGAACTTTCCATAATCGTACACTGTCAGTCATGGAGATGATAGGTCAACGACCTTTCCATAATCCTACACTGTCAGTCATGGAGATGATAGGTCAATTACCTTTCCATAATCGTACACTGTCAGTCATGGAGATGATAGGTCAACAACCTTTCCATAATCCTACACTGTCAGTCAGAGAGATGGTAGGTCAACAACCTTTCCATAATCCTACCCTGTCAGTCATAGAGATGGTAGGTCAACGACCTTTCCACAATCCTACGCTGTCAGTCATGGAGATGGTAGGTCAACAACCTTTCCATAATCCTACCCTGTCAGTCATAGAGATGGTAGGTCAACAACCTTTCCATAATCCTACACTGTCAGTCTCCATTGACCCAACACTAATACTAATTTTTTATCCTGGGAGTCTCAGTCTCCATTGGCCCAACACTAATAAAAATGGCACAAACAATACCAGCACCACAACAGTCGCACACCATTCTCCTGAACTTTCAATCACAAGGGCTCAAAAGGTAGTTCTCTGCATATTGCTTTCTGTCCATGATCCATACATATCCATACATATCCAATTTGAGGAGAAAACCAACTACAGATTTTGTGTTACCTGCATATTGATAGAGGGAACCGAATGTAAACAGATCAATTTCAGCATGACAGAGTATCAATTATATCCATATCTCTCCACAGGTAGACTCAGACTGGGCTTGGAGTTCTCAGCAGCCACACACACACACACACACACACACACACCGCCAGGCTGTCAGCTATTACCATAATAACAACATTACTGGCGTCAGCAGTAATGGCATCATCTCAGAGGCAGATGGGGACAGGAGAGAGAGAGACACTTTGGAATATATTGAATATGACACAGCCACTTTTGTTGAAAATCTGGCAACTAACTTTATAATGAACGTTCCTATGTGGAGGGAAATGGATTAATTGGCTGCTAGAACCTCAAAGAGAGAGAGAGAGAGAGAGAGAGAGAGAGAGAGGAGAGAGAGAGAGAGAGAGGAGAGGAGAGAGAGAGAGAGAGAGAGAGAGAGAGAGGAGAGAGAGAGAGAGAGATTTTCCTAGAGTTTATTGGTAATTAACATATACAAAAGGGACCAATAAGGCTGTGAGCTATAGGAGTGCATAGCAGAGCTAATGAGGTGGTTCTCCCTCTCTTGATTCCTAGAGAATAGAGGCAAAATATCTTTAGAGAAGTGAGAGGACTAGGTTTGTTGACGTGTTAGTGAACACTAACAGGTCACGTATACACAGCACCGAGACAGTAAAACCATCCACTTATGTTGGCATGCCTATTAAAGTGGCAACGCTGTAGGATAATGATGGGATTGACATTGATGCTCAACACCTGGAGAGTTGTATGAGAGATGTAATGATTCAGAATCTCCATATCCTCTACAGGCCAATAATAAATTCCCACTGTTATCATTAGAAATCTACCTGTCTGGGCACAAGCCTAATTTAAAATGTTTACATTACGCTTCCCTGTGACATTGAACATTGGAATAGCACATTGCATATCTTTGAAAATTGCTTTAAAAGACAGCAGTGTATGGTGCAAGAAGATGAATGCTGCACTGTACCTACAGATGTAGGATCTTAATTTGAGCCAGTTTGCTAAAGCATGTAAATAATCCAGCAGCAACAGGAAAATTTAATTATTATGTTGACATTTTTGTAGGTGTTGATACATTTTTCGTAAGGGAAAATCAAGTCTGAAATTTCAAATGGGAAATTACAAACTTCAGAAGCTTTTTTATACCTCAAATACACACGTTTTTAATTTCCTGCATTGCAGGGAAGTTCTCCTGCATCAGGGTGATCAAATTAAGATCCTACATCTGTAGAGGTACATATGTTCCATACATTATCTCCCTCGTGTTCAAATCACTACCTACTGTATAGTCCCAGTCGGTTTTAGATAGAATGTAACCTGTGGTTACCTAGGTTACCATATTGGCTAACAGCACAACCTTGACCTTTTCAAATGCAATTTTCTTGATGTCTGCTTGCTTTAGTCAATTACAAAACTACATTTAAGAAAAGTATAACAAGTCTAAAGATTACTTTTTAACAATGCCTGCTCCCGAGCGTTCTCACTACTTAGAAAAACGTAATATTGTAGAGCTTCCCTCATGCCCCTTTTCATGACAGTGCTAGCAGCCAGGTGTGTGAGTGAGTGAGTGAGTGAGTGAGTGAGTGAGTGAGTGAGTGAGTGAGTGAGTGAGTGAGTGAATGAGTGAGTGAGTGAGTGATAGCTAGCTGCTGACCGGAACATTAAGATAAGCTCATTAGAGTTACCAGCCTCAGAAATTGCAGCCAAAATAAATGCTTCACAGAGTTCAAGTAACAGACCCATCTCAACAACAACTGTTCAGAGGAGACTGTGTGAATCAGGCCTTCATGGTCGAATTGCTGCAAAGAAACCACCACTAAAGGACACCAATAATAAGAAGAGACTTGCTTGGGCCAAGAAACACATGCAATGGACATTAGACCGGTGGAAATCTGTCCTTTGGTCTGATGAGTCCAAATTGTAAATTTTTGGATCCAACCGCCATGTCTTTATGAGACGCAGAGTAGGTGAATGGATGATCTCCGCATGTGTGGTTCCCACCGTGAAGCATGGAGGAGGAGGTGTGATGATGTGGGGGTGCTTTGCTAGTGACACCGTCAGTGATTTATTTAGAATTGAAGGCACACTTAACCAGCATGGCTACCACAGCATTCTGCAACGATACGCCATACCATCTGGTTTGCGCTTAGTGGGACTATATTTTGTTTTTCGACAGGACAATGACCCAACACACCTCCAGGCTGTGTAAGGGCTATTTTACCAAGAAGGAGAGTGATGGAGGGCTGCATCAGATGACC